TTTAAGTAAACTAAAAAAAAAAAAAAAAAAGGAAAAAAAAAGAAAAAAGTGAGTAACTACTGAAGAGTGGTCAATCCCTGCCGGCTCCTATACCTCAATTTCATTTTGTAAAGTTGACATTGAAGTACATTTGGAAAGCCCTGACTGGGAATGAACACTTTACAAGACTTTACTTTTTTAACTGATAATATTTCTGTCTCTTATGTGATGTATGAGAGGACAGATGGGCTCTTTGAGCAAAGTAATTTACTGAGGTGACGTGCACAATGCAAAGACCTTGTTAGTTAGTTGACATCTAAGAAACCGGTGTGACTGAGTGCCTCTTGTTTATGTTTTAATCCCACAGAGAATATGCTCTTATGCTGTTACACTATTAAATTCTCTTCTCCGCTCTCCCCCTTGCCTAGGAGTGGATGCTGTCTCTGCTCTTTCTGCCGCTGATGTTCACAGTGTGCACGTTCATGATGAACATCCACTACCCCGAAGTGCCTTACAGCTACCTCGGGCAGTTAGATGATCCTGCCTATGATGCCACTGGGGTCACCATCGCTTTTACACCCATCACTGTGACCACAAGGCAGATAATGAATAAAGTGGCCTTGAACTCTGTAATGATAGGTATGTTTTGCCTTTTAAATACTTAGCTTTGTCATTATTTAACCGATTATACGTTATGTTTTAGTGTTCTCCAGTATCTTTGGTCAGTAGAGAAAATTCACCCCAAATCCTCCATTCTCACAAATATTTCTTCTCTAGTCTTTAACTTACTAGTGAGGCCAGTGTGTGCTTCTGAGCTCTAAAGCTCTGCCTTTGTAGAATAATACTAGTAAGACACATTGGTTCGTTCTTTTGAGGTTCACTTCTTCCCAACTGGTAAAGTATGAAGTATTTAAAGGTGCCACCCTGCCCAGTGAGGAGAACTGGAAAGGAGGAGTTGCAATGCTAAAAAAGCAGAATATATATCCAGTGCCTGTGCACACATTTCCAGACCTACAGAAGCTCATTGCAATATTTTTCTTACAAACTACAGGTATAAAACTAGAGGCACTGGACAATGAGAGCGCCCTGGAGGAAGCCTGGATTTCGAATAATGAAATTATAGGTGTTGTATTTAAAGACAACTTCTCCTATCACCTCAGGTTTCCTACTGAGAATGTGGCTATTCCAAATGAAAACTTTGGATACATAGGTAATACAAAATAAGAATTTATGGGTGGGTGATTGCCTGGCATGGATAGGCATCGCTTTGTTGGAATAATCTATATATGTTAAATGATTTAATAAATTGTTAATTTTTTTTTTTTTTGTCGGGCCACTGTCCAAATGAAAACTTTGGATACATAGGTAATACAAAATAAGAATTTATGGGTGGGTGATTGCCTGGCATGGATAGGCATCGCTTTGTTGGAATAATCTATATATGTTAAATGATTTAATAAATTGTTAATTTTTTTTTTTTTTGTCAGTGGGCCACTGTCCATTTGAAGAGTTTCCCATAGTGCATATGCATGCTTATCATCAGCTTTTGTAGCGAAAACCAATTAAGTTTCACTGCTTTTACCTGTGATGCCCTTAACCTTTCATCCTTGCAGATAACTGTTACAATTTCTCATCGCGGTACTGTTACAGCCCAAGCTATTGGTACAAAGGCTTCCTGTCCCTGCAGTCCAGCATCGATGCTGCTATTATAGAGGTAAATCGAATTTATGAACTGATCTAGGTGTCCTTTTATTTTAAACTTGGTCCAGGAAAGACAGATTGTTCTGTGACAATAGCAAGAGACGGGCTTGTCAGAAAATTCTGCAGAAAAACAAATATCTTAAAAAACTCAGCTGTCTGAGTATTATTGGCAGCGACAGTGAGAACTTGAATGCAATCGGCAGTTCCTGCAGAAAATGACTGCTTTCAATTTAATTTTGAAGATTTGTACTAACTTTTGTTTCTCTTCAAAATGGCAGTTTCTCTTAAAGGCTGGGAACCAAGTGTAATATCGCTGTTTGATTTAAAGTATTTCTCAGACTCCAAGGAAAAGGCAATTCTTGCAGGAGACTGGGGTGGTATGAATATCTGCTGGATGACTTGGTTTCAAAGTAGGCATGTCTGTCATTTCTTGTCCTTCCTTTCCCAATTGTTCCTGAAAAATATACCAGGGTAGGGGTCATTCCACCTGGCTATGCACCTCCAGCTGTCCAGGCTGCTTTCATCCCCGGGGAGAGAAACAGGAGCTTGGGGAGCATAAGTCATTTGTGTGTCTGGCTCCTTACCTCTGGATGAGCTGAAGGATTTATCTCGCTCAATAGACAAGGGAGGGAGTCTAGCTGAGGTGCAGACACACAAGTGAGTCAGATAAGCCCTTCCTATAGGGCTTTTTTGCATTACTTGTTGATGTTTTCTATAAAGCTGCATTAAAAAGTAAATCTAGGGATGATGAATCAGAAGGTTCCTTATATAAATACATCTCTCTCTAGAAAATAAATTAAATACTAAGATGTTGACCTTGAATTCCTTTAGGTGGTGGCAAATCGTTCTGTTTGGGAAGAAATGAAATCAATTGCTGGTGTCCGTATGAAGTCCCGGAGCGTCATCTCCTCGATTACACTCGAGTACAGTTATTTCATGATTACTATCGTGATGTGTTTCTCTCCGTTCATGTATTTCTTATCAATGAACGTTGTAAGAGAAAAGAAGAAGCTCAAAGTATTGATGAAGACAATGGGGCTGCAGGATATTGCATTTTGGTGAGTTCTTTTTTTAACTAAAGTATGTTTGCCAAAAATCAGGATACTCCTGGGCACCTGCGCAGTCAGTTAGTAAGTTAAATGGGTTCATAAGTTTTCTCCAGCACTCTAAGGACAAACCAGAAGGGTTGAGCATGGCAGCGGTGTGTTCTTCTTCCTTGGGTATTTCCTCCTAAGGTGGATCATGCTATCTGTTCTGCCTAGGATGTGAATGAGTTGACCCTGAGAAATAATTAATATTTTAATTTAAAATGGTTCTGACGTGCAGATGAAGTTGTAACAACAGTTCTTAACTAAACAAAAGTGTAATGCCACCATTCCATCCTCAGGCTCTCCTGGAGTCTGCTGTATGCTGTTTACGTGATGGTCCTCTCCTGCCTGCTGACAGCTCTTGTGATGCAGGATGCTTTCTACCTCAGCAGCTTCCCTGCAGTCTTACTGCTGTTTTTCCTGTACGGCCTAGCATGTGTAAGTCAGGTTTTAAAGCCAAATTTTCTCACCACGTGATTTATTACTACGTTGATGAGCCTAAGCAGTACTCCAGAGCCTTTTGCACAGTGCTCAGGACTGTTTACTTTGCATGGTCATACTAATTGAAATAGCTGAGTGGATTCTCTGACTCAGCAGCAGTGATTTGAATTGCAGCCTGAAGGTCTGACAGGCAGTAGGTTGGCTACAAAAGATCTGATTTGATGCTCAGATCAACCCACTAAGAAGGACTTTAGTGTATTTTATTACACAAACTCAGCTCACCAGAGATCTGTTTGCCTGGCAAATGGAAGTGCTACTGTTAAAGGTATTTATTTCCTTCAGTGATCGAAGGAAAATTCTGTTCTTACAGATCCACCTGGTTTTCATGCTCTGCTCCCTCTTAAGGACCTCCAAACTTGCCGGCTCCATGGGGTTCCTCATCACCTTTGTCTTCGGATGCCTGAGCCTCGCGGTGCTGATAGAAAACCTTCCAGAACTGTTGAAGTGGTTTCTCGGTCTCTTCTGTCCTTTTGCCTTTAATGCTGGCATTGCAAAGGTATGGGGTATCATCTCTGTAGCTGAACCTTCCCAGTAGCTTGCTGTCCTGGGCCTTCTCGGTGGGGACAGCGTACATTTTGTCACAGACAGTGGCAATAAAAGACCCTGCTGTACTTTACTGATAGACAAAGGCATAGGAAGTCATAGTCCTCATTTCAAAAGACCAGCTTTTCCACATCTGTAAAATCTTCAGGTACTTTCCATTCATATCCACATCCTGTTTTGAAACTTCTGTGCGAGCTGAGCTGCTGTTGGGCAGCAAAGAGGGGCTCCAATGCCCCCATCCCGTTCCCCTATTTAAAAAGCCGATGAATGCAAAGAAAACAACAGCCCTTGTCACAAATAATCTGCCGTTGTGCACTTCCGTAGCGTCCACATGAACCCGAGGAAGCCCCAGCGAGCCCATCCCTGCACACAACAGCACCATTATCCTCCGGGGCTGGACCCCAGGCAGACGGGAGTTGACTCGGGGACATCAGCGCTTCGCCGCCCGGTCATTCCCCTCTCGCTGCAGCGACTCTTCCTGGCAACAGAGACTGTGCAAACACAATTCGAGTCTTCTGCTGCGGACATCCTTCCTCCATCCCCGCTTTGGATAATTCTGTGCAGTTTCCCAGTTTTCCATCAGTCATATCTCCATAGCTCTGAGCGATGCTTTCTAGCTCCAGTTACTTAATATTTGATTTCCTGATATATAAAAAAATCTGCCTGGGAGAGGAGATTTCTGCACTAGCAGAAAAAGAAACTGGATTTACTGCTTTAACCATGTGGTTAAATCAATCACTATGTAAAATTATACCGTCTTTGTCGTGACTCCGTCACGTCAAGGGTGCCAATATCATGTTTCTTGAATGATATTCTATAAAACTCTGACCTTTTCTTCTGCTTCTGGATTGTTCTGGAAAATTCGGAATGAAAACATAAGGTCTCTATGTGGAGTAAATTTATTTCCCTTCCTCACTAGAAAGAAAGGAAGAAAAATTGGTCAGTACTGCAGATGATTTCTGGGTTAACAAAGTCAATCGCATCCATGGTTTGATAGCGCGTGCATGGTTTTCCAGCCTGAAAATTATTCTTCTTTGTCCTTTATTTCAGGTTTTCCATTTAGAAAAATATGGAATGGGTTTCTCTTTTTCTAATCTTATGGAGGAATCATACTTTTTATTTTCAACTTACATTATGCTGGTCTTCGACTCAGTCTTGTACATGCTGTTAGCTATGTATTTCGACAAAGTTCTGCCAGGTAGGTATGATTTATGCTTATGATCATACTTTCTTTTTTATAGTTTTGATTTATACAGATTGCGTGTAATAGCTCCTCGAGGAAATGATGGGCTGCTCCATTCTCTGAGTCAACCAAAATAGGTTTTGGACTAAAAAAATGTATTATATCACTGAGTGACTTTTCTGCCCCTGGCACACACTGGTAATTCCCGAATCAAAGACAACAATTTAGTGTTTTTTCTTTCTAATTATATGGCTGTTGAAATGTTTATGAGAATATAGTGTAATAATGTGTGGGACAATATTTTAATTCATTAAGTAAAATATTGAATTCATTAGATATAACCCTGAAGCCAACCTTCTTGTCTCATCTACCCCAGCTCCAAATCTCTTTTTTTTAACTGGACAAAGTACCGATTTTGAGGCAGCCAAGTACTTACTAGAACCTCCTAAATGTTTAGTCTAGGGTGATGTCTTGGTTGTGGCTGTGGTTAATGACAGGTCATCTTCTTTGCTTTCCTGTCAGGCAAATACGGCATCCCCGATCCCCCCTTTTTCTGCCTGAAGCCCTCATACTGGGTGCGGAGCAGAAGAGGCTCCACCAGGGAGATGCCCAGAACTGCAGTGAGCCCCGAGGAGCTCCTCAATGATGATATAGAGCCGGTGCCCCCCGAATTCATGGGGAAGGAGGCCATCAGGTTAAGAGAGAAGGAATTGCTATTCATGCTTTTTGAGTTGGGTAGCTTGGGTTTAATGCTCCCACAGACCACTGCTTCTGCCATCAGCTTTGTTTTGACTTATCCAGGCAGTTTTCGTGTTCATGAGGCTCTTGCAAAACACTTCATTTCACAAAGAAAAATTAGAGATAAAATGCAAAGGAGATAAATAGATAATTCAGGCTGGTCACTAATGGTGAAATTCAGATAAATTCAGATTTTAAAAAAACAGGGTTTTTTTGCTGTGGACTTTGTTAAATGTCCATTAGGGACAACAAGGAGAATGCGGAGGGCAGCCCACTGTAAAACAGCCATCTGTGGCAATGGGCTTGACCTTGTCTTTGCAAGGCTTGATGCTCCGGTATCGCGTGCCAGGTAGCGATGTCCATGCCTGTGTACAGAGCATGCCAAACCCTGCTGAATCTCAGGGTTGCTTCCCAGTACCTCTTACTTTTCATGCCATTTCTGTCATTTTAAATTAAGGCCCGTAAGAATGGAAAAGGGCACCAGGGAAATGAATTTACAGCAGTCCTGAAATAATATCCTCCTTACCTTCCTTTTAGACTCAACAATATTAAAAAAGCATATAAAAAGAAGGACAAGAAGACAGAAGCTTTAAGAGGTATGACAGCTATGATATTGATTCCTGTTAAAGATGAGGAAAAACAGTTGTGCAAACATTCAGTCAGTCAAAGAAATAAAACAACACTTGCATTGCTTGAAAATTTATGTAAAATATTAATTAATGCAACTGATTACTATTTTGTTCAGTTTTTACTGATTTTCCATTTTTAATAAGACTAAAGAGAAGAAAGGTTTTTTTCTATTGTTGCACTTGGGTCTTTTCTGTTAAATACAGAGCAGCTTCTTACGCCTTTAGTTAAAGGTTTGCAGAACTTTGCCCCACATTGCTTAATGCACTTTTGGTTAATTATTGATACTTAGTTCTTATACTTCTTGACTTGTTTTGCCTTCGACAATGAGTAGAGGCAAGTCAAACCTCATTTCTTCCCAAACTTGATGTTGTTTTCATTCTAGGTTTGTCTTTAAATATTTATGAGGGTCAGATCACTGCCTTACTCGGCCACAGTGGGGCTGGAAAGACAACACTGTTAAACGTGCTCAGTGGACTCACTCTGCCTTCTGAAGGTAGGGTGGCAAACAGTAGGACAGGGTGGGCTTGATTCAAAAGCGGTAAAGACCAGTTCGTTCCACCTCATCATGTTTATTCCTGTAAACAGGCTCTGCAACCATATACAATTACAAACTCTCTGCAATAGGAGATAGAGAAGAGATTAGAGAGATGATTGGCATTTGCCCACAATTCAACACGCAGTTTGAAGTCTTAACGGTGAAAGAAAACTTGAAAACTTTTGCAGAAATCAAGGGCATCAAGTCCAAAGAGGTAGAGCGAGAGGTAAGCGTGCGTTCCTCTGAAACGCATCACTGCGCAGCAACGTGAGGCTGTAGGCAAACCCCACGTTTCAGCAAAGGCTCCTTTTGCACTGGGAAGCTCAAAGCGTCCACCTGGCTGTGTCTTCTGAAAATCGAAGCTGGTGTCGGGCTTCGACCAGGTTAGTAGGCAAGCTTGTAGGCTTGATGCAACCACAGCGATTCCTCTGCTTAACCCAAGGAGATGAGGGGATGTGGCTGCTCCTGCTAGTGGTGGTAGACCTCGGTACATGCCCTTAGAAACTGTGCCTTCGGTCCCAGCTAGATCTCCTTCATGGCTAATAAAGGATGGAAGGACAACTGGTGCTGAGAATGGGCATCTTTGTGCTGTTCCAGGTGCAAAACATTTTGGAACTGCTGGATATCAGTAACATTCAAGACACTCAAGCTGAGAAACTGAGTGACGGGCAAAAACGGAAGTTATCCATCGGAATAGCCATGCTTGGAAACCCGCAGGTAAAGCAGCAGGCACAGCTCTGTAATACAGGGAATATTCAGGTCCAACATAACTAAAAACTTATGCATGTGCTTGGCTACAAATTTGTGCATGATTTCAGACCTCTTTAAAGCGCTCATAATTATTAAAATTAATAATTCTGTTTCGTTAAGTTCATAACCCATCTTGCTAGTCTAGTTTTAAAGCAGATAGATAGTTCCCTGACCTCTGCACAGCTCCCAGAATAGCTGCCCTTGCATAAAAGGTGGCCTGGGTCTCTTGCCTTCAGGACCTGAGGCTTTCAGGGGAACACCAAACCCAAAAGACGTGCAATTGCTCTGGCAATGGGAAATGTCTGACTTCATCCTTTCTGCAGGTTTTGTTCCTGGATGAGCCAACGGCTGGGTTGGATCCTCTTTCCAGGCACCAGGTGTGGAGCCTCCTCAAGGAGCACAGAGCTGGACGGGTGATCCTGTTCAGTACCCAGTCCATGGATGAGGCCGATATCCTTGCAGGTAAACACAGGCTCAGCCTGTAGCATCTCTGCAGAATAACCCTGGAGCAGAAAGCCCATGTGAAGTCCAGGTGCAAAAAAAGTTTTGAACGACTGCTCTACAGTATAAATTCCTTTGGCTTTTTCTTTCTTTAGACCGCAAGGCTTTTATCTCGCATGGGAGGCTGAAGTGTGTCGGTTCTTCTCTGTTCTTGAAGAAAAAATGGGGGATTGGCTATCATTTAAGGTATCTACTTCAGCCCCAGCAACTGGTATCTGGCAACATGCATGTACAAGGAGCCACCAGAATGACTGTAAGGGGGAAACCATAGAGTAGATGTCATCAAAACAAGAACATTGACTGAATTAATATTCACTTAAATTAACTGAAGCAGCACTTTACTCCAGAGTAAGGAATGAATGAAGCATGCTGGAGTTTTCTTTTTATGCATCCTAGCAAATACAATGGTGGTTGTTGTTTATCTGGGTTTAGGGTGTTTTGGGGGGGGGTGGTGGTGTTATTCAAAACTAAGCATCTGTTTTTTTCAACTGAACAGGATCCATGTCAGTGAGTCTTGTGACTTAGAGAACGTGACATCTCTGGTTAAACGATACATCCCCAATGTCATATTCTCAGGACACAGTCAATATGAGCTGAGATATAAACTGCCATTAGAAAACGTGAATAAATTCCCAGGTAATATATATTAAAATAATTGAGAATTGTCCATAGAGGAAAAATAATCACAAATGTGGGGAAAGAGAAATGGAGAGGGAGATTTTCTACAGGAGTCACATAAGGACTCTATAACTGTTGCATTCACTTTGGTTTTCCCCCCACAATTTTAGCATCCATACGTTTAAGATCAAAATGTACGACAAATGCTTTTCTACTGTTTTTAATGAAAAAAACTAGCAGGCCAAACTGGGCTACATGTGTTACTGAGAGTTTATTTTTCTTTCTGATAAAAGAGAAGATAGTGACAAGAGAAAACTCCGTACAACCGGTACTGCTCCGCACCTGCAGTGGCACCAGGCAGACCCTCACTCACCGTGTCCATCACATTCAGTCTGACAGTCCCGCAGCCCTACTGCCTCAGAGGATGCATAGTCCAAAATGTTGGTTCTAAGTAGAAAAACATCTTCAATGAGCTATGGATCTGGCAGCTTTGTGTTCCTCCAGACCCTTTGCATCCTGGCAGCTCGCTGCTTTATCATTTTCCCTGTGACTGGAGATGCTCCAGTCAGGTTGACTCAGCTGAACCAAAGTCCGGTCTGGAGATACATGCTTATGTTTGAAACCTTGAAGGCACTTGTATTATCTCTGTCCCGCAGATCTGTTCAGTGGCCTCGACAGCTGCTCTGACCAGGGAATTATCAATTATGGAGTCAGCATGACAACCCTGGAGGATGTCTTCCTGAGACTGGAGGAAGAAGCCACAGTGGATCAAGAAGGTACAATCATGGCTGCAAATACATAATCTGTAGCCGAAGAGAATGGCTATTTTGCAATAACCCCTGGGCATGCCTCCAACGGCTGATTACGAGGTGGCTCTTAATTTTTCACACATTACTACGTAGAAGCTGGTCTCAGACATAAATGTGCATGTGGAAAACTCTCTGCAGATGAGCGTGTCCTTGGGGAGGAGTGGGCAGAAGCAGGACGGTGCCCCGATGAGACGGAGCCTGCCTCCCTGCTGCTCTCGGACACCGAGAAGGCAGCAGTTGGTGGCTTGGCTCTCTGGAGGCAGCAGGTCTCTGCCATGGCATGGGTGCACTTCTTAAAGCTTAAGAGTTCGGTGAAAAACCTGCGGTCAATGTAAGTACCAAGGGGATTTTCTCTTGCAGATCTGGAACAGGATACAGTCACAGCAGGGGGGACAATTTTCACACCCCTGTTTCGATGAGTGTTTGGATTAATTGATATCAGGTCTTGGCTACGAATGATCTTGGTAATCTGCACTCAGAGGAGAGGAAAGCTTCTTCCTTTCCAGTGCCAGTAATATAAAATCTCCCTTTTGTGCATTTTCATTTCTATGCTGCGTGATTTATGCAAGGGAAACCCCTTTTCTTTCTGAAGAAAAGAATCATTTAGAAACACTTTTATTTCAGATGGAGGAGGAAGTTTTAAAATAAACTATTGTGTACAGAGAGTGGAGGGAAAAATACTACTTTCAGACTTCCTCTTTAATTTTTTTTCAAACTTCTCTCATGTTGCCAGGATCTGAACTCATTTGGCCCCATTGGTCTTCAGTCTGGCGCGTTGGCATTTCCTGGTGGAGCACAGGAAACAGAAGGGAGATGCTGATTTATGAAAAACTTGTATCTTAAGGAAGCCTGAAAGGCATTTCATGGTCCTAAAAAGTTGAGCGCTCCAGATCTAAGGTCCTCTCCCTGCTAAATTTTGAGGGCCTTTGTGAATGGTCAAGGTTTGAGACTTCTGAAAATAAACTTGCCAAAATTTTTTAACAGAAAAAGCATTGGGTAACCTGAATATAGTATACCATTCCCAATACACAAATGTGTTCTGCTGAATATCTGTTTTTAGAGTGTTTATTCATCTCTTTCTTAATGTAGTTTGCTGCTCTATGTGGTTTTTCTGCTTCCTCTGGTTTTGCAACTGTCCCTGGTTGCTGCCTGGCAGAGTGCGAGTGTTTGGGAGCTCTCATCCGCGCGGTACTTCTTGCCCCTGGGGAAAAGGGCTCGCTCGGACACAACCAGCCTCCTGGTCCACAACAACACGGGTGAGGGGAACGAGCCTTTCCTCATCCTTTCCTATTCTGGGGCTTCTTGCTGTTGCAAAGAGCAGACGGCTGTAGGATGGAGGGGACCCAAGGAATGATGAAGGTTTTAGTGACAAAAGAGCGTGGAAATTGTCATTTTTAAGGGGTTGTGAATGAAGCCTACTTTGGCTTCAGCAGCTGGTGAGATCCTGATGCAATGATGTGAAAAGGGATATCATAGCAAATGGGATTAGAAGGGACCCAGTTCTTTCCCTGCCCCAAATCCAGATCTCTGCCCAAACAATCTCTGCATTTTCAGAGTGTGGGATCCTCAAACCAGGCACCATACTCCAGTAAGGGCTCACTAATGCTGAGTCAAATTAACAGTCTACTTCCAGAGTTTTACCTTCAACATTCCTATGAGTGGATGCTATTTTATGTTATTTTGCCAGAATATGATAGTTGGCTTCATCAGACCGTCAGCAAGGAAAATACATTTTGCAGCAACTCAGCAAAGGCAGAAAAAAAAAAAAAGACAATGTAAGATTCAGTCAATGAGACTGAAATCCATTAACTTCACAGAAATGATCCACTGCATATGTGCTGTCTGACGTCCACAGTTATTAGGCTTTCTCTGTTTTTGTTTGGTGGTCATGGATTTAAAAAAAAAAAAAACAAACTATCAAAGACTCTCTTGTTGTTCAGTATTATGATTCCTCTGCTTTTGTCTTTCACACCAGGCGCAGGCATTGAAGACTTCATCCACACGCTCGAGAGCCAAGATCTCACAGTGGAAATAACAAGCGAGGAAAATATCACAGAGGAGCTAAAACACAATGGGGCTATAAAAGTGTCTCGCAAAGGCCAGGTAAGGATTTTTGTTCTCTTCTCCTGTTTCTTCCCAACAACTGAATAATTAAGCAAAATGCCTCCATCAGCTCTACCTGTGGGATGGTCCTATTGAATAAGGCCCACAGGTACAAAGATTTGGAAGTGTTTTAATTGGTAAACTACATGCTAGAGGAGACCTTATCTCTCTCACTCTCCACCTCGAACTTTTCATTTTTGTAGCACAGCTATACAGACTTCCAATACCTAGTAATTTGGGTTTTAGCAAACAAAGCATAGACAAAATGAATTATTTCAGGCCTGGATTCTCCTGGCATGCTTTTTTTTCTACTTCTTCCCTGCAGATGAGAAAAGCCAAAAGTTTTCATCTTGTTTTCTTGCTCTTTGAAGAGCTACAGGTTTACCGTGTTATGCCACATGGAGGCCATCAACTGCTTCCCAGTGCTTGTGAACGTCATTAGCAACGCTCTGCTGAGAGCCCTCAATTCCACCGTGCGCATTCGGATCTGGAGTCATCCATTTTTCTCTGTAAGTGTCAGAGCCTGGCAGCCAGAAGGTGTCAGAAAATAGTTCTTAAATCTGCTTAACGTCTCAGTAAGTCATCAGATTTTAATGGGAAGCCATGTGGGGCTGTCTGCACCTGTAGACCTACTTTCCTCAGTGGTGGCTCTGGAACCATCATGTTTGACTTCAGGAAAACTGAAGCTAATTTTTCCCCCGTGGGTCTCGAGGGCTGCTGAATGGAGAGGGTAGCTGGGAGGGTTTCTTCGGGAGGTTCCTTATTCTCTACATCACGTTATTCAAGCTGCGGCCCATCAATTGACAGAAGAGAGAGCTCACCGCAAGTCTGGGATGGAGGAGTGGGACCTGCACTCTCCTCGCCAGTGGCAAGCACTGTGCAGGGCTATGGTTTGGGGAAAACCTTCCTCCTGCCAATATTTCGTTTCAAATCCCACTTTGTGTTCATACTGCCCTGTACTGCATGAGAAATGCAGTAAGATGAATTGTGGCATCTAGCCATTATGTTGCAGATGTTTTCTACAAATGTTTTGTTCTTCTGTTTTCAGATAGATGATCTACAATTCTGGGATTATTTTGTTTCTTTTTACCTCATTTATATGCTGTTGTTATTCCCTGGTTTTCCTCCTCACTTTGCAATGGGCTACATGCAGGATTACAAGGTAAATTCCTTGAAATGGAGCAGAGTTGAGCTGGGCAGAAGGGGTTACAACTGCATTGCCACAAGGACATTTGAATATGATGGGCAGCTTGAGGCATTTTTCTCTGTATTGCCATGAGCAGCTTTGCAGCCAGCACAAAATGCTAAAAGACAAAAAGAGGTGGAATTTTATCCCAGTATCGCAATGGTAACAGCTTTTTGTCAGCTTTTTATTTCCTGGAGCCATTCCCATGGGTGCAGTTGGCACTCCCCTTTGCATTGTGCCTTCCCAGGTGGGAGCTCGTGCCCAGCTGTGGATCTCGGGGCTCTTTCCCTCGGCGTACTGGTGCGGCCAGGCGCTGGTGGACATCCCGCTGTGCTGGCTCCTTCTCTTCTCGATGTTTGGGCTTCAGTTCGCAATGAGTAACAAGATTTCCTGGAGCATCGACAGCCTCTTCTTGCTGGTACCTCCCATTCTGGTGATTGCTGGTTCGCTAGGGAGGGATTGGGGTAATATTTTGAGCACATGTAGGGGTAGCTGAGACACCGTGGGTGCAGACAGTGCTGGTACACCTCTGGGTCCCCAGATGCTTACTGACCTTCTCCTTGTTTCACCTCCTATCCTTTGGGTTTCCCCAGCTGGAAATAAAAGGCAATAAACCTTGCCTTAATATACTCCTTTACACTTAGCAGTAAAATTGTGGTAATTTCTGAATGCCCTGATCTTAATGTATGATCGTTTAAACTGAACCACATTGCAATATATAGGTTTCTGGTTGTTTAGATCACTCCGTTTTCTCCAATGAAAGCCCTTTTTTTTCCTTTAGATCATGGGTACTTTTGGCTATGGAATTTCTATCGTTCTCTTCATCTACTTGATCTCCTTCGTCTTTCGCAAAGGATGGAACTGTGATTTTTGGTCTTTTATCCTGATAGTGGTAAGCATATGGCTCGATAATGTGCTGTAGGGTTTACAGAAATGTATTTTGAGATCTTAAGGGTGAACTAGAGGTCAAAACACCAAGTATAGATGTAGAACATAAGTACAGGCATGTGCTTTACAGCAGTAAATTCTATATTAAATTCGTGTCACCATGTTCTGTTCCCACAATCCTGCTGTGGCACAGGAAAATGCTTGGATCCACCCTGAGCTGGTGCAGGAATGGAGGCAAAAAAGTTATTTATCACTTTGTTCAACACCTCACATCCAAGAGATGTAAAGTGTTGAGACATGAGCCAGCAGGTTAGACGCAGATAGCCTGAGCCTGACCTAGGAGGAGATGGGTTATTTGGCATGAACTGGGATGGGAAAGAACAGGACAGGAACCCATGCTTCATTCTTCTTCCTGAAGCAGCCCTGTGTCTGGGAAGAAGTTTCCCTGGCTGACCCAAACCAGCAGCCTACCATCAAGCAGAAATGGCCGAGGACCTCCTGAACCTTCACTGTTTCTCATCTTTATATTTCTTGTCCATTTTTAGAAATTCAACAGGGAATTTTGAAAAGGTAGACCCACTCAATTTTTAAGACCAGTGAGGAGCGTAACCCCTTCCCATCAGCTAAGTTACCCTCTTGTTTTATTTTTAGGTATGCTTTGTTTCCTATATCGTCAGCAGAGTCATGGATTTCTTAACCGGCATTAGAGTCTCCCTCTACATTTTGTCTCTCTCGATTCCCATGTACCCACTGCTGGGTGTAATGATCAACTGCCAGCAGGTAAGCGGTGGCGCTGGGTGAGGAGAGGCACCCCACCATAAAACATGACCATGTGTCCTTGTGAGCAAAGTCTGGTGGTAACCGCACGCTGTGTTCGGGGAAGGCTCATTAGTTTCCTCTTATAGGTGGGATTTTCCAAATAGCCAGAGTGCATCGTTAGATGACCATTTCAGATCAGATCTAATTTTTCCAGCTGTTCGCTATGGCTAGGGGCTACTTCTTGTGCAGTTGAGCTGTGACTGTAGATTAGGTAAGCACTCTTAATTCTTTCCATGCAGAGTCGAGCAACTTGACTTGAACAATCATAAGAGAAAATTTGAAGTTACACATCTGACTTTGCATGGAAACTGAGTGAGAATTAAGAATACTCACAAGGGGCTTTACTCTATGTCAGCTGAGGGTGGTAATGGAATTTATCAAAACCCTCCAGCTACGTGCAAGACCATTTGTGAGCCATAAATGGCTTAGGATTGAAGTCCAAACAGGAGAGACTCCTCCTCTGTCCTGTCCCACTCACCTCCACCTCTTCTCCGCTGGGACCCCAAAGGAGAGGAGACCAGATGTTTTCCTGTGACAGGCCATTACCCCCAAAAGGAGAGCCTGATACATGTACCGAGTGCCGTGACATTTTCTGGTATAGGACTGGGATGCACAAAGTCAAGCATCTGTATTTGTTCATCTGTATGGTGAATATTTTGGGTAAATCAGAAGCTTTTGTACATTTTCAAAGTATTTGTTGTTTGCTTTAACCCTTCCAAAATTAGCCAGCATTATACTAAAGAATTACAGGTCTTCATTGTGTATTTTTTTTATTGTTATAGATTTTTATAGAAGACGCTGAGAATTTTGCTGTGACTCCAAGGAATGATGTACTAATAGCTGTCTTTGCAGTAAGAAAACATTTAAGATTACTTTTATCTAGGAATATGCGTCTCCTAAACCCCATCCTCAGTTATGAGGAAGCAGGAAAGAACCCTGAGCTCGTTTCATGAGAAGGAGGATCTCGGTGGGTCTGAATGACAGATTACCCCCCTGGGCAAAAATAACCTCGCTCCTTTGAAATGGGGAAGGGAAAATGAAATAAGCCCAGATCACTTAATGCTGCCCTGTTATTTTATGAATTGTGTTTTTCTTCTACCATTGGTATTTTCTGCAGGATTGGTAAGTGATAGTAGAGTTCACAGCCTTCAGGATTACCCTGAGATTAAATGTTAATGGACTTTATTTTCGCATACTGTGGTTTTCCCCCGCATATTTTATAACACTGCCACCATCTTCTCAGTTTCACCTGTAGTAGGATGGAAGGCAAGGCTGTTAATGTGGCAACCTCTCTTTTTCAGCCTTATATCCATTCTGTGTGCTTCATTTTTCTTCTTCGATATTTGGAGATAAAATATGGAAAAGCAGTTCTGAGAAAGGATCCAATATTTAGGTTTGTATAAAATACATGCACCACAGGCACATGCGAGATCTAAACTCCTACCACACTGCTTTTCCTTGAAGACAACATTTTGATCAGATATCATTGCCTTTGTGTCCCTATTTTTAAATATTTTTTTTTAATACTGGTTATTTTTTATAACTAAAATAGCCCCTTAAATACTACAGTGCTATGATAATATAAAACGGCTCTCAAGCTTGTTAGTACCTCCACACGGTGTTGCCTGTGCAGTGTGGATGTACCACACTGCTTTTCCTTGAAGACAACATTTTGATCAGATATCATTGCCTTTGTGTCCCTATTTTTAAATATTTTTTTTTAATACTGGTTATTTTTTATAACTAAAATAGCCCCTTAAATACTACAGTGCTATGATAATATAAAACGGCTCTCAAGCTTGTTAGTACCTCCACACGGTGTTGCCTGTGCAGTGTGGATGTACTTCCTCCACACGGTGTTGCCTGTGCAGTGTGGTTCCAGCTTGGTTCTTTGTACAACACAGGAAGATTATAAATATATATAAAAATTAAAACAAACAAACAAACAAACAAAAAACCCCCAACAAACCAAAAAAACCAAACCAAAAAATCCCCACAAGAAACATTGAACCAGAGGGACATTCATTCTTGGTCTATACAAAATGCATTGGTGGAGAACAGGGGTAAAGAACAGAATGCTGAGACGAATCTGGTGGGTTTGTAGGATTTCCCCAAGAAGAGAAAGCAGCCACCAGCACCCCAAGGAGCTCGAAGAGGAGGATGAAGATGTTAAAGCTGAAAGAGCAGCAGTGAGAAACGCCATAGCAGCTCCGAGTCAGGAGGAGGTACGACTACGTGTTGTCCTTCTCATTTTATTTTATACCAGTAAGAAGCCCCCCGGTAAAAAACAAACCACCAAGAATCAGTAAGTGCAAGTCAGTGCTCTGGCTGTATTATTCTCACCGGGAAAATCAAAATCCCAAATGTAGAGTGTGGGTCCCATCAGAATAGAGAAGAAAGCTGTTAAGAGGAACGTGGGCAATAAAGTGTCCTGTTGCACCTCATATTCTCAGTGAACTAGAAAACACATCCAAAGATCTTTAGAAGGTTTTCTGCCTTTTTTAATGGAAAAATATTACTGAAGGATTAATGCTATTCAATATAATAAACTAATCTTTCTTCTTCCTCTTCACTTTCAGAAATCAGTCATTATTGTCAGCAATCTATGCAAGGAATATGAAATAAAGCAAGCTGGTTCATTTTTTAAGAAGAAGAAGAAAATGGCCACCAGAAATGTTTCCTTCTGTGTTAAAAAAGGTGAGAACTGGAACTGTTCTCCTAGACCTGTTTTGGACCCCTGGTCACACCCAGAGAGTTAATTCTCTGCAGATTCTCAGTTATCTGAGCAAGGACATAAAGGTCAAATCTACTTGCTCTGTGGTTAAGGCATGTTTGGTCTGTGGTTGATGTGTTAATGAAAAATGTGACATGGATGCATCCTATTAGTTACCTCGGACTCTCCGTTATCTAAAATAACACAGCCCCCTCTCTCCAGGATCCGCTTCAGCAGTGGCTGCTGGGTGACCTGGGAGCAATGCTCAGACTCGCAGCATCTGTTGAAGTCAAAACACTATGGGCTCTCAGAGCATATATTTATACTGTTTACTTTTATATGATCTTTGGTATTAGCATGCTCTCTTTTATATTTTTTCTATTATGGGACTGTGCCTGATATATTTGTTGAATGGGGAGTATTACTAAGAAATTATATGTATTGATTCCAGGAGAAGTATTAGGACTTCTGGGGCCCAATGGAGCTGGTAAAAGCACAGCTATCAAAATGATTACTGGAGAGACAACACTGACTGCTGGGCAGGTAAAAGGCATCTGAAGAAAAAGGATAAATCCATGATAAAAGTGCAAGTGCAAACCTTGCATCTAGGATAAGCTATAATGTTTTTGGAAGCATTATTAGTGGTCAAGGTTTTAACTGAATTCATTGTGCTATTAAGTTAAATAATGTATTAATAAAAAATATTGTGAGCTACTGCTAACTTTGACAAGCAGTTGCATCTACCCTAATTGGCCATGTTTATATTTAGAAACCGTGTAAATGAGGGTTGCGAAACCCAAGAGAGAACATCTACCCTAATTGGCCATGTTTATATTTTGGAACCATGTACATGAGGGTTGCGAAATCACTCCCCTGCTCTTTGGGTTTCCTCACCTAAATCCCAATGAAGCCCATAGTCTTCCTCTGAACCATACCCTTGTATCGGGGCGAGGCTATGCGAGAGCAAAATGATTAGCCTGGTTGTGCAGGTGCTGATGAAGAAGGGAGAGGGAGCAACCTCCCACCTCCAGGACCACGCGCCCGCCTTCCTGGGGTACTGCCCGCAGGAGGACCCGCTCTGGCCAGACCTCACCGTGCACGAGCACCTGCGGGTCTACGCCGCCGTGAAAGGGGTGTGCAAGGAGGATACGGCTGCTGCTGTCAACCGGTACGGATGGAAGGTGTCTCCAGGGGTTGGTCAATGTTTTATGCCTTAGTCCTAGAGCACGGGGAGGGGACCAGGAAGTCAAAATTCACTGTGAGCCAGAGGCAACCTTGAAAGAAACTCAGGAAATGGAACTGCAAAAGGGATTTTGTGCTAAATGCCGTGATTAAGTGAGTAGGTTAAGAAAATCTCCAATTTGCCTAAGTGCATTTAGTGGGGATAAATTTACCACTAATGTCCTTTTAAGTATGTTATCTTTAGGAAGCATTTCTAAAGTCTCTGATGTTACAGTTTGGCACTACAAGAAAGGGTGCTTCAGTACTGCCTGCGCAGCTGACACTGGCAAGGGGGAATGGATTTATAATGCTGTTGACACTAATGATGGGTTTAGAAAAGAACTTGTGGCTTATTCAGTACACTTTGCTTCAAATATTCACTTACATTTTAATAACACAATAAATGCTTAATGAAAACAAGCAGGAGTCAAGAGCAAGGGGAAGAAAGTTCTTTTTTCTTATCGTTTTGGGAATCCTTGATGAGAGTATTGAGTTGGGAATAACAAAAATGTTCTTTTTGTTTGTTTGTTCCCTTTCCCCACAGAATAGTGAATGCCCTGCAGCTTCAAGACTATTTAAAAAAAAAAGCCAGAAAATTATCTGCTGGGGTAACCAGAAAGGTGTGTTTTGTTTTACCTATAATGAGCGCTGCAATGCCCATAGCACAAATGAAAAATCCCCTCCGTGAACGGGGGGACCTACCTGTGCTCTGAGCCGCCCAGGAGAACATCGTTTTGTCTCCCATGGTGAGGTGATGGAAATTAGCCTTTTCCAAATCCACATCTCCTCTAAATCAGAACCTTGATTCCCATAAATGAAGTGACGCTGTCCGCAGCTCTTTGTAGACAGAGTGCCAGGGACTGCAAAAGACTTGACTCAAACCCCTTTCCCTGTCATAGCTGTGCTTCGCGATGTGCATGCTGGGCAACCCCGCGGTCCTGCTCCTGGACGAGCCATCAACTGGCATGGACCCCAACGGGCAGCATTGTGTTTGGTGAGTAGGACCTCAGGCACTGTGCCACCATGGTGGTAAAGGGGTTGGAAGCCAAGAGTAGATGCCTAAGGTTAGGTAAAGAGTGTTTTGCCCCATCTGTGGTTAGTGCTGCTCATCACGTACCAATGGTTTTATTGGAAACTGTTTTCCTGGTTCTCTCTAGCTAAAGCGTGAGCAAGGAGAGAGAAAAACCCTTTTACCTGTGAATTCATCCTTATTGCAAACTTTAGGACAGTCATATTATGGGATTTGGAAGAATCCATAAATGGACCTGAGTCAAAAATATTTCTTTTTGTTATTATTTCAAAGTATTACCATGTGCACATCGGTCTAAAGTTGCTGTATGTAAAGTTTTTACACTTGTTTCAGGGGAGAGGTGTTTGGAGGGACAAAGGTATAAGAAAAAGTGTCTGATATTCCTAGGGAGTGTTAGCTTTTTTTTTTCCCCCCTCTGGTCCTCAGGAAGATGATTCGTGCTGCCCTGAAAACCAAGGAGACGGGAGCCATTCTGACGACGCACTACATGGAGGAGGCGGAGGCGGTGTGCGACCGCGTGGCCATCATGGTGTCCGGGCAGCTACGGTGGGTAGCATGCAGCAACAGGGGTTTCTCCTCCGGCCTCACCTACCTGAGCCCATCACCATGGGCTTTATGAAGTGCTCCCCGTGGTCTCAGCAGCAGTACAATTTGGGAAGGAGCAGACGATGGGGCACCAATGGTTTCACACTGACATCTCTTGTTTTCCCTCCTTCCCCTGCAGATGTATTGGCTCCATTCAGTACCTGAAGAACAAGTTTGGTAAAGGTTATCTACTGGAAATTAAAGTCATGGACCCAGAGCGCACTGATCTTCTCCATGCTGAGATTTTGAGGATTTTCCCGAGTGCAGCCCGTCAGGAGCGGTAACTATAAAATGTGGGACGAATGGTGGTTCCAACACTACCTCATCCCTAAAAATGTGCCCAGACATAGGATCTCAGTTGGAGAGGCACAAACAGCTCAGAATCTCTATATGGGGATCTGATTTGGTAACGTTACCACATCCAACCCTGCTGCGATCCCCGCAGCAAAACATCCATCTATCCAGCTCATAGTGTGACATAAACTTTTGATCCCAGAGGCTCAATACAGAGCAAGAATCACCTTTTCTTCTTTTTCTTCAAGGTTCCCCTCTTTTCTAGTCTACAAGGTCCCGATGGAAGATGCACTGCCCCTGTCTCAGTCTTTCTCCAAGCTAGAGGAAGGTAAGAGCAAAACAAGATGAGTTTTTGGAAAAGGTGGAACACCAACCGCTAATTTCCAACTCTCTTCCCATTTCTCCACAGCCAAACGGAACTTCAACCTCAAGGAGTACAGCTTCTCTTTGAATACTTTGGCTCAGGCACGTGATTTCAAGGCTAGACATGCTATAAAGGCATGAGCAGGAACAAAAGCCACAGAGAGACCTGGGCCAGTGCAGTGGCAGAAGGCTGCTCCACCAAAAAACTTCCTGGGGCTGGTGGGAGAGGGGTCCTCTACTGGGAAAGTGGTGAAAAATGGTTTGGTTTTATCCACTGCTGGATTTAGCATGGTGGGAACAAGCCTAGGCAAAGTGTTGCTGCCTGACTCCACTCACCTGAGACAGGCACACAGCGCATCCAGGGATGGATGCCCTTGGCAGATGCCCATGCCCAGCCTCTACGGTTGCTCCTGAAGCAGCAGGTTATTGCTGCTTGTACAAGGCTGGTGGCAAAGGTGAGGAATGTTTATGCCAATCCATTGGTGGGTAAAACCTTTATGGATACACCTATGGGCAGCCGGTGCCTCTCAGCAGGTTACACCAGAGAGCACAGGAGTCTCAGCGACTGCGTATGTGCTCCCCACATAAAGCTACTTCACATACCTCTCGTAGGGGTTGCAGAGCTGTACCTCCTGTGAAGGAGCGTCACAGTGTCTAGTGAAAGTCAGAGAAATAATCGGGGGTTTATCTTGCCATTTCAGGTGTTTTTGGAACTCTCCCGAGAGCAGGAGAAGGATAATTTTGATCCGACTTTGGATGGGACTTTTGAATGGAAACAACTTCAGCAGGAGGACTGTTAAAGATCTAAGGTGTTCATTTACACATTACTCAGTATTAACCGAACTGATGTGATACTGCACATATTTACTACCATTATCGGCGTACCATGAAGAGGAGCAACAGGCTCTGCCTTTCCAGCGAGCATCAGCTGAGGGCTCCTCTCCGATGCAGAAGACATTTCACCTGGACTCTGCAGGTGTCTACACTGACCCCTACCCAAAGTTGCATTTCCAATGGGTGGTTGATGAAATAGTGCATGCGCTGGTGAGAGTTCTTGTCAAGCAGAGCAGTGTGCAGCAGAGGGACAGAAAGGTTTGCAGAAAGAAGGGTCATAACCCCATCTCCAGGGATCGAGGCTCTGCTTTGCTCGGTGGATCTGGGTGCATCAGGGAATCTGGACACGCTGCCAACCTTCTGGGCTCCTCTCCCACCAATGTGTGGGACTATTTGCCTATGACGTGTTTAAATACATCTTATTGAAATATGCATTCTATTTTTATACCCTTCCAATAAATGTCTCTATAGAAACCGCGGTTTTCTCTTATGTCATCATTGCTGTGGACCGTCAGGAACAGCTAAGCAGCTCAAACTCCTTTCCCTGGGGATGGAGGTGGCTGCAGAGGGCCCAGGGCTGCTGGCCAGGCAATTGTAGTCCCTCATGTTTACTACCTCCAGCAGCCTGGCTCGGCGAGCGCGCTCACCCCTGCCCTCCCTCCACACTGGGGCGAGTGGTTGTCACTCCTCCCTTTGGGAACCAGCCTGGGTTGTTCAGCCTGGAGAAGAGGAGGCTCCAGGGAGGCCTTATTGCAGCCTTTCATTACTTAAAGGGGGCCTATAAGAAAGATGGGGACAAACATTTTAGCAGGGCCTGTTGCGACAGGACAAGGGGTAACAGTTTTAAACTAAGAGAGGGGAGATTTAGACTAGATACAAGGAAGAAATTTTTTATGATGAAGGTGGTGAAGCACTGGCACAGGTGGCCCAGAGAGGTGGTGGATGCCCCATCCCTGGAAACATTCCAGGTCAGGTTGGACGGGGCTCTGAGCAACCTGATCTAGTTGAAGATGTCCCTGCCCACGGCAGGGGGGTTGGACGAGATGACCTCTAGAGGTCCCTTCCAACCCAAACTACTCCATGATTCTATGATTTTCCTCCTGACAACTCAGGCACACGTTATCCCTGTGCCCAGCTCATTTGCAAAGGTTAAAACTCTCACAGAAAATATTAAATCCAATTCTCTTTATATAACCTGCAGCGGTGGCTGTGTTGCAATCACTGCTCGTGTACATTCCCCACTCAGCTTCAAAACATATTTTGGCAGTTGGAGGACATGTATTTAGAGGGATCATGATTATTTCCCTCCTGGTTGCACAACAGTTCCGTTTCTACTCCCCACCCCTGGGAAATGGGTAAGTGAAATCGGCAAACATTTTGGTCACCTGTTCATACACTCAGCTCCGGAAAATGGGATCTCGGTGAAAGGGAAGAGTTTTATTTAGTGTCCTGGGGATATCAGCGGTGGTGGAGAACTCAAGCCATGAGCCTCCTGATATAATGACAGTTTATACGATCCATTCCTGTTGGGATTTTGTCATCAGCATTTCATGGTTTGCACCTCTGGAGATGCTGCTGGTGAGAGGTGCCCCTCTGCTGTGGTGGCTGCTGGTTTGAGTGGACTTGTAAGATACACTGTCTTCCCTCTTCTCTGCCCTCCATAACACACAGGCCCTTGCTTCTTTAACAAGGAAATCTCTTTTCTACCACACAGCACGAGGGGACCAGGTCCCTTTGGAGGTCTTCAGATGATGTAAAGACGCAAACTGTAACAAAAGCCCCAGCAAACAAGTCCTGTCCCAGAGAGAGCATCTCTGGGAGCTGGGGAGGGGAAGAGGAGTGCACTGGGCTACAGGGAAGACACTAATGTGGAGAGCAGGACTGAGGTATGAAATCTTCTTGTGGCAATTGCATTTCCTTCTCTGGGGTGAAGAGCATCTCCCACCTTGGCTATTCCTTCCAACACCGCTTGCATGGTTGTTTCTTCTAAGTAACTACCACCAACCCGCTTCACCCTCTGCTACCACAGGTTTGACAGATTATTCTTCATGATATTTGGGGCTTTCCATTCCAGCAGAGCTGGCTCCATCATCTTCTGCACAAGGAGGAGAAGGAAAAAGACCCACAGAGAGTCCCCAAAGGCAAGCTGGCTGGAGCTGGGGCTTTGCATCAGCCTGGAGGGAAGGGGGACAGGGCTTGTGGCATTGCCAGCACACAGTCAAAATGTCCAGGTCCTGGCCCATGGCCAGTGCTTGGAGAAAGGGGTTCTGTCACCAGCACAAAGCAGAGCTTAGCTGGCAAGAGGGAACGAACAAAAGTTCTCAAAAAGTTCACGAGGACTTAGCTTTTCCGTTGGAAAGAAAAAAAAAAAAAAAAAAAAAGAACAAGAGAGAGATTTCCTGGAAATGAATCGGCTTCTTAAATATTCCCTTCAGAGGTCGCCTCCGCCTCTCTCCTTTCCCCTGCCCTGAGCTGAAGGGCTGCGGGGGAAACCCATCCCCCAGCAGCTGCAATCGCTCTACCTGCCCTTTGAGCACAGAGGCTGACAGCAGCCCAGTGAGAAGTACCCTGCTCCACCATGCAAACCCAGCTCCAAAACTGGCTTAACATTTTGGTTATTCTCCTTGTTTTCCAGCACAGCACAAGCCCTCCGTGCGCACGGTGTCTTTGCTGATAAACCTGAACCGGAGTGTGTTGGCTGTGCTGCAGGGTGAGTCCATCGTCCCAGTATAAAGTGGGTGAGGCAGCTCCCTGCTGCGGATGCTGCACGTTCCCCGCAGTAACTCATGCAATAACTTAGTCTTATTAACAGGGAGATTCTTATTTATTAGATTTAATAATGCTCTTTTTATGCAGCAAAGCAACAAAGCACACAAAGGGCCATTCACCACCAGCCGCCTCCAGCGCCGGTCCCCAAGCACCGTGCCCCAAACGGGCATCCCGGAGCAACAGCAAAGAGCAGCCCCTGCCTTTCAGGTTAGGTAAGAAAAACGGTGCCAGCTGGTAGGTTTTGAGTGCTGGGGACCAGGGGAGCAAGGCACATGCGTGCTCAAGGTTTGGGAGCTCGGGGACAGCGTTTCACCCTGCAAGGTTTTGGGGAGCAAAGGGGTATTTGAAAAATGTCTGGAGAGGAATGACAGGGCTTTCCAGGTCTCCTCGTCCTCTCACAGCTGTGATAGAGAGATGAACGTTGTCTAGTTCAAATGCTAATTAAGCAACTCTCCTTAAGTGTAAGTAAGCAACAACAGCAAAAAAGTGATATTTCTGAGAATTTCAAGGAACTTCACAAAAAGCAGTGATGCAAGCTTCAAAATAGCTATGAGACACTTCTGCAGAGTAGGAGGAGGGTAAAGCTAAGCGATGTTAAGCAAAGGACTGGTGTCCTGCAGGAAGCCTGTAGCAGGGCTGCCTGTGGTGGCCTACAAGATGGTGTCCTGCCTGCAGACACCCCACGGGGTAAAGGCAACATACCCCAGCCCTGTGCAGCTCCTCGCAGCCCCTCCTGTATCCCCCCCCTTCACAGCAGCAGTGCCATGGCCATGCATGCTTTCTCCCAGGCAGGCACCTCCAGATCTCGTAGCTCAACTGAACAAAAACCATCCTTTCTTCAGAGTAACCGGGGGCCGGGGTGGAAACAGAAGACAGGACCAGCATCAAACAGAAAGTTATTTGTGTCTGCTCTGGAAGGAAAGGTACCATGAACACGCGGTCTCCCATGCCATGAGGGCAGCGAGCATCTCCAGCCAGGCAGACACCACACTCCAGCCGGCAGACCCATGAGAGGCTTTATCACAGCAAGCACAGCCCATTCCCATGCAACATAACTGGCCACACGTGGCTGTCCCAGAGCAGAGCCAGATGTTCTTCAAGCAGAAGAAATGAGGCAAGGCAGATGTTGGCAACCTCGACGGCGCAGGAGTCCAATTCTCTTTTTCCATCCGCTTGAGACAGAAAAGGAAATCGGTGTTGGATTACATCTCGGCATGTGAACCGTGGAGGGGGGTGAAGAGGGTGTATCAGGTCCTCAGCTAATGCGAACCAGCGTACGGTCTCCGGTTTGCAGCACGTGAGTACCAGGATGTCGCAACAAGCATCTCTCAGAGTATTTGATTTTTAAGGCATTTCAGCTTCAATTACTATGCGCGTGAAAGCTGAGAAGAAGATTTTTCTCTTGAGTTGGTACTCCTTAGCTCTACTCAGCACCTCAAAACCCTTTTGAGACGCTCAGCTCAAAATATTCTCTAGTCCTTTAGCAGCAGATGGATAAAATATCAGGCAGAAGACTATGTGTGGCTGTGACAGCAGCCAAACCCAACAAAATATTTACTTCAAAGCAGGCAGAAGGATAGCTTGTCCAGCTGGAAAAAGCAGGAAACATTTTTTAAAAGAATGGAAGAGGGGGACAGAGAGGGAGATGATTGTGTAAGTCATGATGTTTCAATTAGATCATGCCTGAATGATAACAGAAGTTCATGAACTTATGTTCTGGGCAAAATGGAGGTGTCCGGTTTGTCCCTGTGCATCTTCGTCCTGGCACAGACATCAGGCGGTGTTTTATGGACAGGTAAGGAAGGACATGGGCTGTGCAGCAGCTGAGCTAGAAACACACCTGTGTGTCTGTGGTCATGGTGGATGCCACCAACGTGGGGACCGAATACGTCCCTCCTGCAGGGTCTTATGCTTTTCTGAATGAATTTTGGCTATTTGAAAATATCAGAAGTCATCTAGTCCAGTAATTAATGTCCCTGGAGAGGTCTTGGGTTGGGTCAGAGATGGTTAATGGATGTCAGTGGGAGCCCAGATGCCAAAGGCAAATCCTTCCCATGGATTTGGGGCATGCTGGAGCAGGTCCTTCTGTGACATTGTGGTAGTAAAATATCATGGGTTTGCTGGAAGAATTGTCACCACCATCAACCACCTTGTCTCTCCCGGGTAAATGGATGCAGTCATAGGAACCTATAATGCCTATAAATAATCAGCTCTTTTGCAGGTGGCCACACCAGCCTGACTCTCACTTTGAGCAACTTTCTTCTTTGCAATGGTCTTCTTGCCCTGTGTCCTACAGCCTTGAGAGCCAAGAATCATCCCAGCCATCAGCTCCTCCAACCGCAAAAACTGCCAAGATGACCTAAGACATGTTCCTTCCCATCCAGGCATGTGAAGGAAGCTATTTGTGCCCACCATCACCTGCCCCAGACCCTGGTGGGATCCCAGCATCTAACAACCACACATCAGGCTCAGCAGGTCTCCGAGGAGGTAATTGATAGCAGCAATTCCCTGCTGTGAAGGGAGGTACTACTGTCAGGATTGAGTTGTAAATGGTCTTTTTTAGGTTTCTTCAGCTATTTAAGTACTGTCTCCACAGATGGACTAAGAGGCAAGGTCTGCACTGGGCTGCACTGGAAATATTCCCTATGTTCCCAGTCCCAGCAAACATTTATTATCTGACTTTAAAACAAGTGCCATAGGA